ACTGATTACAATGTCCCATCTTCCTTCCCACCATTTTAAAAACAGCCTTTGCACTCCAGCCTGCCTACACTGCCTAGTGTTTTATGGCAGTGAAGGCAGGTTATGATATTTAATTGCCCCCCAGGGAACGGTTAAGGGCTTCAGTAGGTCTCAGTTGGTTGTGGCTGAATAGTTCAAGTCACTTTCCTCAGTGTCACAGCGCAATGATTGTCAGACAGTCTGTTTCTGTTAAGATAAATGTTTAGTTACAACACGCAAAAATGTCTACACTATTTCAGTATCCTCATGATTTTGACCTCTGCAGATTATCAATGATATAAAATCTTGTTAGGAATTGTAAATTACTAACACAAGATTTGAGAGATTTGTGACTATCCTGAAGAAACCCAGACCCTGTTACGTTTTTGCACATGCTTCAATAATTTTTTAAAATTGTTATTAGGAAAATTTCGTCCCAGGAGTATTCTCCCTTTATTGTTGATAGCAAAGTTATGAGTGAAATTTACACTGTGCAGGTGTGAATTTTTGCAATACATTTACAAATGAACTTTTTACTGACAGGACACACTAGAGAAATCATATCTTTTACGCCCTGTTATTAATGCCAATGGGATCAGCTTTTTTATTCACATGGGTTTGTGTTGTTCAGTAGGTTGAGAAGTAGACACTTATATTCCTGACACCATTCAGAAGAATGTCTTTTTACTATGTGTAACAGGTTTAATTGAACCCAATAAACTCAAGGGTGTTAAAGGCACAGTCATGTCACTTGTAGACTTAGATTTGACATTGGGTCTTTTCACAACTTCCCAATTTTCTTCAAACACATCATTTTCTGTATGTTTTGATGATTCACTGAAAGTGATTCCTCACATGGATTTGCTTTTCTCAGGTGGCTGTAAACAATGGGTATCTGTGACCCACTGTAGACTGAGTCTTGGCCCTGCCCTCACCTGGCATCCACACAGTTGATACACCACAGTAAAGCACATTGCATTCAGGAGCTGACTGGCTTTCATTTCAGAATCAAAAGGCATGCAACCTATCACAAAACCAGTATGTGTCCAATCTCAGCACAGGGGCAGAAAGACCCAACCTGGTCCGCAGACCTTTTTTTGAATTAAGTTATCATTCAGAATTATTGCAAAGATCAGGCAATGTGGACCTTACAACTACTGTAGTAAATTAAAGTGACCCCTATCACCTTGAAGCTGCTATAATCCGTCTCGTGAGGTTTATTTTCATTGTCACGTGCTGCTTAAATCAGAAAGGCCTCTCTATATGTCATCACACCGCCACTAATCCCAGCGCCTGAAGTTTGATTGAAATAATAAACTAATAAAGTCAGAGTATGGTAAGTCAGGGACAAGTAACAGGATGGCTAGCTAACCAGCTGCAAAGCAGAGAGCAGGACTAATGGGGAATAAAAACAGAAGTTGCTGGAAAAGCTCAACAGGTCTGTGTCGAAGGGCCCACACTGTAGGGATTCTATGAATCTATGAAAGGTCTGGCAGCGTCTGTGAAGAGGAATCAGAGTTAACATTTCGGGTCCGGTGACTGAGGAAGGGTCACTGGACCCGAAACGTTAACTCTGATTTTTCTTCTCAGTTGCTGCCAGACCTGCTGAGCTTTTTCCAGCAACTTCTGCTTCTGTTCCTGATTTATAGCATCCCGAGTTTTTTGGGGTTTTTTTTTAACAGGAATAATGGGGGCTTGTTCAGAGGGTCTGCAAAGTCGAATCCAGAAGAATCACTGCAGTTCATGGATGATGTTAATGATTTAGATGTTAAAAGCAAAATCACAAATTCTAAATTTGAGGATGACACTGAATTGTGGGAAATATACAATATGGGGGACAGCTACAACATGTCGTGGAAAGACATTAATAAACTCACACAATTTTAATGTAATTGGCAAATTACTGTCATTATAGTAAAGTGTGAACTATTACATTAAGTAATAAAAGAACGAAATTCATGTATAATCTGGAAAATATGAATTTAAATGGGACAGAAAAACCGAAGGATCTGTCGATGTGGGTACACACAGTCGTGACTATGGGTTAATAAAGCCATGAGAAAACAATAATCCAAACAAAAGGTTTTATTTCTGGAAGGACAGAATTGTAAACTTGTGAATTTGTCTCAAACTTGGACCAAACTTTGACCATAACTTGTGTACGGTCTGCTATCCATGTTATAAAAATAATAGACCGACCATGGAAAGGATGTAAATTGAGTTTTACAAGGCTGGTATGAGAAATGTCCAAGTTTTGCTCACCAGGGGAGGACAGGCTGGGACTCTTTTTTGTCTCAGAAGAGAAAGCAAAAGTGTATCGAGCACCAAGTGACTAAAAGTGGGATTTTTACCCTTCACTCAGGAGGAAGTCCTGCCAGCTGTGCTGATTAGACATAAGTGTACGTGACCCAGCAGCACCTGATGCAGCAGTGGACAGGTTCTGGGGCTACAAGCAGAACCCCCTCCCCCCAGAGTTAAGTCCTGGGAGTCCAAGACTGTGTGAGTGAGGAGGTCCCAGGGCACAAGAGGGAAGTAAGGCCTAGGGAGGTGAGGCCTGGGCAAGTGCACAGTGGGCGATGTTGGTGGAGAGGACCAGTGGGTACAGAGTACCTTCAGCAGCAAGATCTTGAGGCGGGGTGGGGTGTGGGGGTGTGTGGTGGAGGGTGAGGCAGGGGTAGTTGTGTTTTGTGCCTGAATTTGAAACAAGGCTGTTGATAGTGACACCTCAGTCTCTTTTCAGCCTGAGGCCTGAACAAGGTCACTTTCAAACTCCTCACACCCCTCCTCCCATCTTGAACTCATCTTGCCATACTGGAAAAGGAGGCTGGGGAGGTGGGGGGTGGAAGGAGCAAAATGGCCCTTAAATGGTGAGTAATTGGCACTTGAGGGAAAGGGTAAGCAGGGAGACCTAGCCATCACCCTTCCCACTATAAAAGACCGGGTCTGGTAGGAGCCCAGGTTGAAGACACCCCTGCCAAAGCCAACAGTGGGCAGATGTAAACATATGTCCATAGACTCAGAATAATGAGTTAGTCCTTTCCAAAAGAGATGAGGAGAAATTTCTTCACCTGGAACTTCATTAATCTTTGGAATCATCTAGCCCAGAGGGCTGTTGTTGTGCCATTGTTGAATATATTCAAGCAGAGGTCAACAGACTACATGTATGAAGTGAATCAAAGGAAACAGGGATTGGCTGCGAACATGACGTTGAAGTAGAAGTTTTTTCATGATTGTATTGATTAGCAGAGCAGGCCGAAAGAGCTTCATTGTGTCCATTTCCCATGTCTTTTAAGTAGATGGACTGGGTCTTTCTTGCCTCACAATTCATCCCAAGGAGATGGAGTTTGTGACTGAGTAACTTATGTGATGGCTTGAAGGAATTGTTAAAATAATGAAACCAAAAAAGAGCAGCAAAGGAGGCAGCTTCCTTGGTCTACCTTTACTGATTTCTGCTCAGCGTAAATCCTACAAAGCACCCCACCCTGACAACCATCCTGATCCCTCCTCTTGTGAAGCACCTTGGAAATTTTCACCACTTTGAAGGTGCTACTGAGGTGTGAAACATTGTGTTTTAATATTAGTCAATCTGTAGACTGTGGAATGCACCACAATAATGCAGATGAAGCCGCTGCCACTAACTGGGCATCTTTATTAATTTTACTGTTTTAAGTCTGATATGGGACCCACGTTCAGATTTTTGAAAACAGCAACATGAAATAATTAAGCTGTTTTTTTTAAAAAAAAGTGTACTTCCAAACCAGGCTGGGCAAAGTCTTTCTAAATTTACAAATAATAACTCAGCTGTCATGTTATATCCAGTTGTGTGCACCACGCATCAGGGAGGGATATCAAGAGCATGCAGAGAAAATTTACCAAAATGGTACTACAGATTAGGGGCCTCAATATTGTGAAGAATCTAAAGAAGCTGGGATTGTTCTTCTTAGAGTAGATTTAGGAACTATTCTATATGCAAAGCTCAAATACACGATGATAATGATAACTTTGAGTATATTTTCTAAATATTGGACTATCCAACCTGCATTAGACATGAGTTTACAACTTCTCTCCTCAGGATGCATTCTCCTTTTTAATGAACCGGTCTATTTGTTTATTTACAGCTTTTCCTTTTTATTAATTCATTCATGGGCTGTCTGTGTCCTTGGCAAGGCCAGTATTTATTTTTCATCCTGAATTGCCCTGCAGAAAGCATTGGTGAGTTGTCTCTTGAACTACTGCAGTCCTTGGGATGTAAGTACATGCATGGTGCTGTAGGAAGGAAATTCCAGTATTTTGACCCAGCAACAGCGAAGGAATGGCAATAGATTCAAGGCAGGTGGTGTGTGAATTGGAGGTGCGTTTGCGGCTGCTGGTGGTTCTCACGTATTTGCTACCCATGTCCCCTTGAATGGTAGATGTTGGGAGTTTGGAAGGTGCTGGTGAAGGAGCCTTTGGTGGATTACTGCTATGCATTGAAGTAGGTAGTACACACTTTTATCACTGTGTGGTGGTGATGAAGAGAGTGAATTTGGGATGTGGTGGCCAGGACACCAGTCAGGCTCACCCAAGCAAGTGGGGAATATTCCGTCACACTCCTGACTTGTGCCTTGTAGATGGTGGACAGGCTCTGTGGAGACAGGAAGTATGTTACTCATCGCAGAATTCCTAGCCTCTGACCTGCTCTTGCAGCCATAATATTTATACTGCTGGTCCAGTTCAGTTTCTGATCAATGGTAACGCCAAGGATATTGATAATGCGGGATCCAATAATGATAATGTTATTGAACACCAAAGGGCATTCTGACAAGAGCAATATGGAGATTGAAAGCATCACTCACAAGAATGTGGCGTCACAGTTGCTATTGGTGAGTGTGGAACGAAAGAAAAATGGGAGCCATTGATTTTGGAGTTTGAAAATTCTCAGTTTTATATGCTTCTCATTCTTTTCTCTATTTGTCCTACAATTTCCTGTCCTTACACTGCAGGCGTTGATACCTCACAATGCAAATTGGAAAATGCAACGTCTCGTAACAGTATCTGTCATCTCAAAGCAAGAGGTGACGTGAGCAGCAGGCCTAACAAATCCAAGAAGGTGGATGACTACAAAAGTTTCAGGCCCATCTTCTATGCCTCAGGCACAAATGGAACTGACCTGTATGTATAAAAGTAGAGTTTCATTGTAAGTTATTACACAATACTGCTTGCAATGTCCTTCATTGAATGTGCTGCTGCAACATTATGTTTAATCAATGCAATTTTAGTAAGTTTACATTTTTTTACTGTCTTGTTAACTAAGTATCAGAAAAGTGTCTAAAATTTTAGTTTGATGTCGTTTTATGGGACCTGAATTGCATTAGCACAGAATTTCTAAATGTTTGCCTCTCTTACTCTGTTTGAAGTAACAGGATTTGGAGGAATGCATGGAGATGTATTTCCACTAAAAACTAAAGAGGCAAAGGAAGGTGGAACAAGTGATCCCTGGGCACTGTTTTTGAATTCACTGGCACAGATGTAGTCCAGCACAACCTGGAGGGAGTGACAGGGAGGAAATTGGGAGTGTCCAAATAGGAAATTCCTCTAATACAGTCATAGAATCATACAGAAATATAGTATGGAAACAGGCCTTTGATCCCAAACTGGTCCATGCTGACCATGGTGTCCACTCAGCTAATTCCAATTGCCTGCATTTGGTCCATATCCCTCAAAACCCTTCTCATCCATGTAACTATCCAAATGTTTTTTGAATGTTGCTTTTGTACCTGCCTCAGCCACTTTCTCTGGCAGCCCATTCCATATACGCACCACTCTGCGTGAAGAAGTTACCTGTCAGGTCCTTCTTAAATCTATCCCCTCTCACCTGAAACCTATGCCCTCTAGTTTTTAATTTCCCATCCCTGGGAAAAAGACAATATGCATTCATCCCATTCAGCCCCTCATGATTTTAAACACCTCAGTAAGGTCACCTCTCATTCTCCCACATTCCAAAGAATAAAGTCCTCTCCCTTAACTCAGGCCTACTAGTCCCGGCAACATCCTCGTAAATCTTTTTACACGCTTTCCACTTTAACTCTGTCTTTCCTGTAACAGGGTGACCAAATTGTACACAATACTCCAAGTAGGGCCTCACCAACGGCTTATACAACTATAACATAGCATCCCAACTCCTATACTCAATGCCTTGAATGATGAAGACCAGCATGCTAAATGCCTTCTCCACCACCTGTCCACTTATGCTAATCAGCTACCGCTCCACCATAACATTGCAGTGGAAACCCTGTTCAGGTCCAAACAAGCAGCTGTTGAGTGACATTTTGATAGCAGACAAGGAGAAATCGAAATGAAATTCAGCCAAAGAGCTGTAATAACACACTCCTCTGAAAATGCTGATTAGGGAAGCAAGAGGACAACTTGATCAAATTATTTAATATTTTGATATTTGATTTATTCAGTTTCAACTCCAGCACTTTGAGATGTCAAATTGTTTCTTTTCGATACAGAGTTATCAGCTTTTGTGAGAACAGGGGCTGGAAGCAAATTTATGACAATGACAGAGCTGATTACTTATTAAAATGGTGTGAAATTAATACACCGACCAACTTTCAATACTTTCAAGAAGGTATGAACATATAATATATAATACGGGAACTATCATAAGTGCAAGGTAATAGACTTACAATCCCATGTTTTTATGTCCTCTTCCTGCATGGACTATGTTGTACCTTCCATTTTTTTTCACTTCTATTGGAAGAAAAAATCCATTTTTTTAACTTTCTGAAACTAATGCTATATTTCAATGGCACCTCCTTCCTTTTATGCTGTACTGATTTTTGTACTGGACTGTTTTGCAAATAAGTGTCCTTCTCAATTATGTGTTTTCCTCTAATCTTACCTTTTACTGTCCAGTGCTTCTCTGAAGGTAGTCATGATCACCAGTCCTCTGTGTCCCACATCAATTGTCTCCTAAAGAAGAGTTCCAAAGTTTAACAACATTCTCAGAGAAAAGAAATTCTCCTCATCTCAGCCCTAAAAGAGTGACCCTTAATTTTTAAACAGTCTCCACTAGTTCTGGACTCAGCCACAAGAGGAAACATTCTTTCCAAGCCCACCATCCTTGTCAAGACTTTTCAGGATCATATAAAGTTTAATCAAGTCACAGTCACTCTTCTAAACTTACAAGAATCATTCTTGTAAACCTTTTCTGAGCCACTACCATCATATTTGCATTCTTAAACAAGCAGATCGAAACTGCACACAATATTTGAGCTGTGGTCTCACCAATACCCTATAGCTGAAGCATTAAATTCTTACTTTTATGTTCAATTCCTGTCATAGGGATAACTTATATTAGCCTTCTTAATTACTTGCTGTACCTGTATAACTTTTTGTGAATCAAGTACAAGAATACCTAGGTTCCTCTGCACCACAGAATTCTGCAATTGTTCTCTATTTAATTAATACTTTTTTTTATTCTTCCTGTCAAAGTCAATGACTTTACATTTTCCCACATCATCTGCCAGATTTTTGTTCACTTATTCAACCCATCTATATCTGTCTCCATCTTTCATATGACTCTTCTTTTTTCCTTATGATGGGTGTTTTCATTAACTTCTTTTATTAACCACGGATAGTGCATTCTCTCCTTAATTTTTCTTTCAAATAGGGAATATAGTTATTCTGTTAAATCCCTCTGCCACTGCTTCTCTACTGATCTATCTGTATCCTAGTTTTCCACCTCATTTCAGCTTGCTCGGCTTTCATGCCCATAAATTGGCTTTTTAAAGTTTAAAATACTAGTCTTAGACCCACGGTTCTCCCTTTCAAATTGAATGCAGAATTCAATCTTATTGTGGCTGCTGCAGCCTAATAATGAGGTACCTTGAGGTTATTAATTAATCCTGTCACATTACACAATACCAACTCTAGTATAACCTGCTCTCTAGCTGATTACAGAATGTGTTGATCTAAGAAACTCTCGCAAAAGCTTTCTATGAACTCTTCATCCAGATTACCATTGTCAGTTTATTTTTTCATAATAGGGTGCATATTTGTCTCCAAATGGAGATGTGAATTAAGTCATGACATAACATGAAGAACATTTGAGGACTCTGGGTCTATACTCGATGGAACTTAGAAGGATGACGGGGGATCTAAGTGAAACTTACCAAATAGTGAACAGCCTGGGCAGAGTGCACATTGGGAAGATGTTTCCATTAGCAGGAGAGACTAGGACTAGAAGGCACAGTTTTAGAACAGAGATGAGGAGAAACTTCTTTAGCCATAGAGTGATGAATCCATGGAATTCACTGCCACAGAAGGCTGTGGAGGCCAGGTCATTGAGTATATTTAAGACAAAGATAGATTAATTCTTGATTATCAGGGGGATCAAAGGTTATGGGGAGAAAGCGGGAGAATGGGGTTGAGCAACTTATCAGCCATAATTGAATGATGGAGCAGACTCGATGAGCTGAATGGCCTAATTTCTGCTCCTATGTCTTATGGTCTTATGATACCTTGAACTTAGTTTTCTTTTTTCTGGAGAAATAATTTTCCCATGCCTTCGCAATCCCATGTCATTTTCGTGTGGCTTTCTTTGTAGGTTGGGAAGACCTTGGGTGCATAACATACTCGTGTCTTCCAGAGGCCAGGGTCTCTGTTGTGAGGGCCATGAGAACATTTCACTTCCTCCTGCACCATTTTTGTGAGTTGGTGTGGGTTTTGGAAACTCCAAAACAATGCACCTCCTTGGAGAGCTCATGATCTGGGGAAAGCCTGCTTAAGAGTTTGGAACAGTTTGAAATACAAGTGTAAAATATTTTGATACAAATAATGTCACTATTAGATGCTGTATTTTAATGTAGCTATATATTGAATGCAGTAACTCACCATAGGAATCTGTCCTCCAAACTGATCTTTACATTGACCTCCATTGTGTCAGTGTTGTCACATACTTTCTGTTGAAGAAACTTTCAGAAACATAAACAGAAATTGCTGGAAAAAAATTTAGCAGGTCTGGCAGCATCTGCGGAGAGAAATCAGAGTTAACATTTTGGGTCCAGTGAACCTTTCTCAGAACTGATTGAAGAAAATTTCAGATTGCATTAAAAACACAAAGAGTATTGTCCTGTCATTTTCTTTTGCTGTAATTTAAAATAATAACTCTGGCTATTAAGAAAAAAGCTTCTTTAGAAAGTTTTTTTTTGAAAACCGCCATCTATTTCTCTCTACTAATTGATAAGCATTATGCTTTGAAATGCAAATAAAACACCATTCTGTTCAGGTCCCCAGTTTCAATGGAGCTGGAAACTTTTGTTTAGATAGCTGCAGCCACTGTGAATGCTTGGTTGGGTTTCAAAAGCTAATTAATGGCTTCCGTGTTGTAGGTGGTTTATTGATCCAAAAAATTGATATTTTTAAGATGCTGCCATCTCAGAATATGTCTTTGATGTGGTTTGTTTTTTGTTTACAACCCTAATAGAAATTCAAAAGAGTATAATTTTTTTTACAGTGGAGCAGATTATTTTTACAATATAATTAGCAGAGGGAGCATAAGGAATTGGTGGAGGGGTCAGCAACTTGGGTGTCATGAGTCTCTTGAAGAGTCATGGGGTTGTCTGGGGATAGTTGAGAGTTGGTAAGTGTGCTTTAAGAGGCTGTTAAATGATGTTGGCAACTGGGCTGTTGTGATGGAGAATTGAGGCAAGTCTCCTCTACAGCCCATCTCAGCACCTGCACTACTCAGAAACTCCATCATGGCTTGAAAAACACACTGCAAGCTCAGACCATGTGTGAAAGGACTTAAATCATAGACAAAGTCACACAGAGGTTGGATGTACATTTCAGAAAGCACAAAAGTGCATAGGTCATGTTTTTCTGAGTACACAAGAGTTAGCTCCATATTTTTTATATATCTCAGTCTCTGATATATAAACATGACTGGAACAAGCAAAGTCAAAGAGACTAATACTTGGTGCATACATGGAATAATAAAAGAATCTTGATGCATTGGAGGTGCCAATACATCAGATGTAACGGGCATTCAGAAATCCTTGGAATTTTGAGACTTTTAAGCATTCATCATTTCCCCAAACTGTGTAATATGTATTACTGATTGGTTTATCTAATGTGTAAAACTTTTATTTCTGTCATTCCGACAGGTAAACAGCTATTAAACCAAATCCCGAACAATAAACTTCTGACTACAAAAGTTGGCCTCTGCTCTTCCCTGAAGACCTATGATCAATTAGTAACTAAACGTACAAAGAGTATATATCCCAGGTGAGAGAACTAGATCCTAGAGTCATAGAATCACTTTCATAGTTTTATAGCACAGAAAGAGGCCATTCCAGTCATTGCACAGACTATCAAGTACCTATTAACTCTAATCCCATTTTCCAGCACACAGCTTGTAACTTTGAATGTTATGGCTTTTCACATGCTCATTTAAATTCTTCTTAAATGTTACTTGAGCTCCTGTCTCTTGCATCTTTTCGGGCAGTGAGTTACAGATAACCCCCATCTTCTGGGTGAAAAATAGTTCCTTAAATCTGCTCTAAATCTCTTGCCCTTAGATTAAATCTATGCCCCCTAGTTATTAACTTTACTAAATGAAATGTTTCTTGTTATCTGTCCTGTCTATACCCTTCATAATTTTGTACATGTCAGTCAGGGCCTCTCCTCAGCCTTCTCTGCTCGAAGGAAAATAGCCTCAGCCTATTCAGAGATAGTAGGAAATGCAGATGCTGGAGAATCTGAGATAACAAGGTGTAGAGCTGGATGAACACAGCAGGCCAAGCAGCATCATTTCCTCTGATGCTGCTTGGCCTGCTGTGTTCTTCCAGCTCTACACTTTGTAATCTCAGCCTATC